TGAAGAATACAAAAACAAAAATGTGTAAGTATCTTAGTTATCTAGTGTTGCTATAGCAGAAATACCACAATGAATGGCTTTAACAAACAGAAATTTATTTTCTCAGTTTAGGAAGCTAGAAGTATGAATTCAGGGTGACAGCTCTAAGGGACGGTTCTCTCTGTTGGCTCTGGGGGAAGGTCCTCCTTTCTTCAGCTTGTTTCCTGGTTCCTTGGAGATTTCCATGTGTCCTGGCACCAATCTTCCCCCATCTCAGCTTGCTGGGGCTTGCTGATTTAAACTCTTTTATATCTCAAAAGAGGTTGACGCAAGACACACCCTACACTAATTCTGCCTCATTAACATAACAAAGACAACCCATTCCTAGATGAGATTATAACCACAGACAGAGACATTAGGATTTAAAACCCATAATTTGGGGGTACACAATTCAATCCATAACAGTAGGGTAGATCAACAAATATAAGCACTAGTTCCCTTAAAAGGCCAGAAAAACATAAATTTCAACAATATAATCAAGAAAAGAGAGAGAACATAAATAATATTAGAAACGGGAGCTGTAACTACAGATATAGTGAAGATTAGAAAATAAGAGAATGCTCATTTAAACCAATAAAAGATTACTTAGAAGGTCAACAATTATTCTAAAGCAAAGATGAGAAGACAAGGGGGCAGGGAAACTAGAGCACTGGAAACGGAACAACTAGAATGCAATTAATGAGAATGTTGACACACTGTGAAAAATGTAACTAATGTCACTGAACGACTTGTGTAGAAATTGTCAAATGGGAACATAATTTGCTGTGTAAACTTTCACTGAAAACACAATAAAATAATATTTTCTGGAAGTATGTAAATAAAAGTGGAATCCTCAAAAAAATATTACTTAGAAAAATATATATTCTCTAAACTAACTTTAAAAAAAAGTGTATTCCTGATTGTAGCTGACAAATCCAAGGGTAGAAATCAAAACTAGCTAACACAATCTTTTTTACACTGTCTTTGCTGACATCTTTTTAAGTAAATTTTAGACTACATAAGCTTTGCCCTTCGGAGGCAGAAATTCTTTAGGTTCTAGTTCACAAATTGCCACTTAAGAGCAATAGGAAAGATGTGGTTATTTTTGACTATCCTAACAGAAAGCTCATAGACGCATATCTTCCAAGTATGACTTCAGTAGTGTACAATACCAATAGGAAAATGTAGATACTGTCAAAGTACAACAAGACCACCACTCAACACCCATTGCATGTCAGTCAGCCTCTTTCACAGCCGCCTTGTGTTTATCAGGAGGGTCGTGTTCAAAGTGGCCATGGCAACAAGGTAGAGGCCATACATGAGCTAACAACCTGGACTTCCCCACCATTGCTAAGAGAGAGAACATAAATAACATTAGAAGTGAAATGGAAGCCGTCTCGTTGGCCAAGAGCATAGCCGATGCTGAGCTCCTCATATGGCAGCATTCCCCGGAGGATCAGCTGGCCACATGGTGGCGGGTTGATCACCCTGCATTTCTTCCCTAATGGAGAGTGCCGCTATTTGTTGTCATAGACAGAGACACACATGCTGGGTACGGATTTACCAGCACCACTACTATGGACTTAGAGACTACCTTATCCATCCTACATAACATCACCTCAACCAGGTGACTGATTTTATATCAAAAGAAAAAGGGACAATAGGCTCACAGAATTCACTATTCTCTCCAAAGAACAATCACCCAGAAGCAATTGGCTAGTTATAAAAGTAGAGTCTCTGGGTGGTGCAAACAGTTAACATATCAAAAGCTTGGAGGTTCAAGTCTACCCAGAGATGCCTCAGAAGAAAGACCTGGCAATATACTTCCAAAAAAAATCAGCCATTGAAAACCCTATGGAGCACGTTCTATTCTGACACACATGGGGTCACCACGAGTCAGAGTGGACTCTACGGAAGCTAGTTTGGGTTTTTCTAGTCCTGTCTCTGACAAGCCAAAGAGAAGGGGAGAAGAAAAACAAGAATTTTCAAACAGCTTTGCTTTTTTATGCTTTGGCCGACACCTCGTGGAAAGTCAACTCTTTGCCAACAACTTCGCAGCTTCTCTGCATCAGCCTCAGAGCAACAGAAGGCAGCCAAACCTTTACTTAGCAGCCTAACGGGTGGGGCTAATATAATTCATCTCAGAATTTTTTGTTGGTACATAGCCGTTTCTATCTCAAGGCTGGGACCAGCCAAAACCAACCGCAGACTGATGGTGACATTTTCACACCTGTCCATCACATCATTTACATGTCAACTGTATGCAGAATAAATCCCCACCTATTATATTTGGAGCAAAAATCGGGCATATTTTATGAGAGTAGCTAGAAAAAAATTCCGATGAAAATTATTTCCTATGTACATAATTGAGAACAGCACTCTGAGGGTGAAAGTTCCAGCCAGGCCAGCACAGCGCGCTGTGCAAAGTATCCTGCATCTCTACTCCCTAAGGAAGCCTGTGAGCCCCCCAGGGGCTGCACCCAGCCACTTCCGGTGGTGGGGATGGAGTTGATTTGTGATCCTTACCTGTTTCATGGGCATGGGCAGTAGTGAGGAAGCAGTTTGGTAGCAGGTCTGGGTTTCTGAGGTCACATGCTTACCCTGCTAGGGGTGGGTGCGGGTTGTAGGAAAATGACATCAAATTAGGAGCGTGACGGCCGGCTCCTCCTTCTTTAGCTGGGCTGCCACTTTGGTCACAGGCTGGCCAGTCAGAGAGGGCTGAGAGGCCAGCCAAGCAGAGGACAAGGGCTAGTGCGTGCTAGGGCTGGCGCAGGGGGAACTGGCAAAAGCAGGAGGTTGGAGGTCTACAAAATGCAATCCCACTCCTAGGAATATATCCTAGAGAAATAAGAGCTGTCACATGAATAGACATATACATACCCATATTCATTGCAGCACTGTTCACAGTAGCAAAAAGATGGAAACAACCTAGATGCCCATCAATGGATGAATGGATAAGCAAACTATGGTGCATACACACAATTGAGTATTATGCAAAGATAAAGAACAATGATGAATCTGTGAAGCATCTCATAACATGGATGAAACTGGAAGGCATTATGCTGAGGGAAATAAGTCAATCACAAAAGGACAAATATTGTATGAGACCTCTATTGTAAAAACCCATGAAAAAGATCATACACGAAAAGAAACAATCTTTGTTGGTTATGAAGGATGGGGGGCGGGGAACTAAATAGACAATAGATAAGAGGTATCTTTGGTGAAGTGTGAGACAGTACACAATACTGGGGAAGCCAGCACAACTTGTACCAGGAAAGGTCATGGAAGCTCCATAGACACTTCCAAACTCCCTGAGGGACTAAATTGCTGGGCAGAGGGCTGTGGGGACCATCGTCTCAGGGAACATCTAGCTCAATTGGCATAACACAGTTTATAAAGACAATATTCTACATTCTACCTTGGAGAGTAGCGTCTGGGGTCTTAAAAGCCTGTGAGCAGCCATCTAAGATACTCCACTGGTCTCACCCCTTCGGGAGCAAGGGAGAATGAAGAGAACAAGATACAAGGAAAAGATTAGTCCAAAGGACTAATGGACCACATCTACCACAGCCTCCACCAGACTGAGTCTAGTACAGCTAGATGGTGCCCGGCTACCACCACTGACTGCTCTGACTGGGATCACAATAGAGGGTCCTGGACAGAGCTGGAAAAGGGTGTAGAATAAAATTCTAACTCACACACACAAAAAAAAGACCAAACTACTGGCCTGACATACTGGAGAAACCCCCTGAGTGTGGCCCCCGGACACCCTTTTAGCTCGGTGGTGAAGTCATTCCCGAAGTTCACCGTTCAGCCAGAGACTGGACAGCCTCATAAAACGGGACTAATGAGGTACAGCAGTCCAGGGCCAAGGACTAGAAGGCAGGAGGGGACAGGAAAGCTGGTGATAGGGAACCCAAGGTTGAGTAAGGACAGTGTTGACATGTCGTGGGATTGTTAAATATTGTCATACGGCAATATGTGTACCAACTGTTTTAAGAGGAACTATTCTGCAAATCTTCATCTAAGGTACCAAAAAAAAAAAAAAGAATTATCTAGGTGAGATCAAACTGACAACAGCAACTCAAAAGGTTTGATGGGAAGCCTAGGAGGCAGTGAGTTGAAGATAATTGGGATGGAATAATTTGGAAAAGGATAGTGAGAATAGCAGCACAACTGGAAGAATGTAATCCATGCCACTGAACTGTACATGTAGAAACTTCGAAATGGTGTAACTTTAGCTATGTGTATTTTCACCAAAAAAAAAGGTCCTCCAAGGTGGAGAACGGAGAGTGTTGACATGTCGTGGGGTTGTTAACCAATGTCATAAAACAATATGTGTACTTACTGTTTAAAGAGAAACTATTTGTTCTGTAAACCTTCACCTAAAGTACAATAAAAAATAATAATTTGGGGTTGTCTTAAGCCCCGACCCCCTAAAAATCAGACTCATTGACATTGAGCGGATTCGGACTCATAGCGACCCCATGTGTTAAAGAACTGCCCCATAGGGTGTTCTTGGTTTGTAACCTTCCCAAAGCAGTTCACCAGACCCTTCTTCCACTGAGCCACTGGGTCAGCTTCAACCTCCAAGCTTTAGGTTAGCAACGGATTGCAAACTGCACGTACTACCCAGGATCTCTGGATTAATAAAACACAGCTCACATGAGTCTCCTAAGAATTGTTAATTTATAAGCGCAGAGCGGCTACAGGAACTCCCCCTGAATGCTCCCAAGCCCAACGGCTGACCCTACTGCCCTTTCTGCCCATGCGCGTCTCCCAGCGCGGCGGCGCCACGGACTCGGCCGGGGATTAGCAGAGAGAAAGCGGCGTAAATACGTTTGAAAGGCCCAATCAGCGCCCCGCCTCACTGCTCCAGCCAATAGGAGACCCGAGGATGGCGGGAGTAGCGTATTTGAACGGCGGCGGGAGCGGCTCTCCTGGCCGACCAGCGTTGGGGTCGGTGCTGCAGCCTGTGAACAATGGCGGGCGAGGACCGCGAGGAGGCCGCGCTGACGCGGAAGCTCCGGGACAGCCGCTATCGCTTCCAGAGACGCATGCAGCAGCTGATAGAAAAGGTGCGGCCCCCAGCTCCAGCTGGAAGGGGCGCTGTGCACGAGGCTGGCGGGACGAGGGTGGGGGAGTCGGGGACCTAGGTGCAGGGACCTGGGTGCAGGGAGTGTGCGGGGAGACGGGACCCCGGTGTCAGAGGGGGGAAGGCAGGCCCGGGAGTGGGTGCAGGGAGTGTGCGGGGTGACGGGGCCCGGGTGTCAGAAGGGGAAAGGCAGGTCCAGGACTGGGTGCAGGGAGAGGGGGGAGCCGGGTCGGGAACGGGTTGCTGGGAGGGTACGGGGGCGGAGGGGAGCCAGGTCGGGAACAGGGTTCAGGAAGGGTGCGAGGAGGAGGGAGGTGGAGCTGAGGACTGAGTGGAGGGAGAGGGGATGTAGAAAAACTGCCCACGGTTCCGTAACTGTGAACGAACTGGGGGTGGGTGGAGAGGTTGGTTGGAGGTCTGACCTGATGGGACACCCCTTCCCCCGCAGTACAACCATCCCTTCGAGGATACCCCGCTGGTGGAGATGGCGACACTAACCTACCAGACGCCCCAAGGTACGGAGTCATCTCCCAATTCAGTTTAAAGGGTGAAGAGTGTAGAATTTTGAAATACTGGCCGTGCTTTTATGAAAATAAACCTTGTTCATCAAACTAGAAACGAATTCCTGAGGACACAGATGGTTAAGAATGCGCCTGCCTGCCTTGACATCCCACACTTACCTCCCTGTCAACTTGGGAGAGTTGCTTAGCCTGGCTGAGGCTGGGTTTCTTCATCTGTACAATGGGTATTGTAACAGTTACATGATGGTGCTGGTGAAGCCCTTAGGACAATGTTTGTGCCCTTCAACACTCATGTTGACTGTCATTTGTCCTGTTTGACTTTGAATATTAACTGTCTTCCACGAAGTTCTGAGTACTTGAAACAATCTGAACGTGGAGAAGGAGCCATTCTGTTCAGGGGTTGGTGTCAGCAAGTTGCCCACTGCTCATGGATTCTTTTGCATAAAAACTGGAGAAAGTTTGCTACTCCTTACTACTAACTCAACACCAAAAATGTTGTTAGGTGCCATCGAGTCAGTTCTGACTCATAGCGACCCCATGTACAGCAGAACGAAACCCTGCCGGGTCCTGCACCATCCCCACAATTGTTATGTTTGAGCCCATCGTTGCAGCCACTGTATCAATCCATCTTGTTGAGGGTCCTCTTCTCTTTTGCTGACCCTGTTCTTTACCAAGCACGATGTCCTCCTCCAGGGACTGATCCTTCCTGATAACACGTCCAATGTACGTGAGACAAAGTCTCATCATCCTCGCTTCCAAGGAACACTTTGGCTGTACTTCTTCCAAGACAGACTTGCTTGTTCTTCTGGCAGTCTGTGGTGTATTCGATATTCTTTGCCAACACCATAATTCAAAGGCATCAGTTCTTCTTTGGTCCTCTTTATTTGTCCAGCTTTCTCATGCATAGGAGGCGATTGAAAATATCATGGCTTGAGTCAGGCGCACCTTAGTCCTCAAAGTGACATCTTTGCTTTTTAACACTTATCTGTTGCGGTAGATTTGCCCGATGCAATATGTCGTTTGATTTCTTGACTGCAGCTGCCATGGGCATTGATAATGAAAGAAAGATAATGATAATAAGAGCAAATCTCAAATTCTGCTCACGTTAAACAATCAGGGACGAAACCGTTCATAAGACCTGCTCCTTAAATGAAGTCCAGGCTCTGGCTTTTTAGCTGATCTGATCACACCTTGCTTGTGTACAATGAACTTGGTGAGTGCTTGTCACCGAAGGTATTAGGACCGCTAAAGAGTAGGTGTAAGTGGGTTGCTGTGGATACTAAAGCAAGTATACTTGGTGTGGGACAAAGAACTAGATTTTGGCCTTTTGTCTCTGGTTTCAGAAAATACGGGAGCCCTGGTGGCACAGTGGTTAAGAGCTATGACTGCTCACCAAAAGGTCGCAGTTCGAATCCACCAGCCACTCCATGGAAACCCTATGGGGCAGTTCTCCTCTCTCCTATAGGGTTGCTATGAGTTGGAAACGACTCGACGGCCATGGGTTTGGGTTTTTTTTGGTTTCAGAAAATAGTAGTTGGAATTCTCGAGCAGTCAGGGTGCCCTTTTGTTTTCTAAAATCAACAGGCAACACTGAAACAGCCGAGTAGGAGGCTACACAGGCCCCACCCAGGCAGCAAACCTCAGGAGTGGGGAGGAGAGCATGATGCAATCCATAATGCGCGCTCATTGATTGGATTGAGCATAACTGTACATTAAGACCCCTTCATGCGTATTCATTGAGGCCCCAATGACTAAGGGACCCTGAACTTTGGAGATCCTCTCTGAGGGCTTCCTGCAGAGGGGAGAACATCCACATAGGTATCTGGGTGTAGGGAGGGTGAGGGGAAGGGGATGGCCCAGTCAGCATCCCACCTCACAGCACTAGCCAATAGGAAGCATGCTGTGCAGGACAAGGTGTGTGTGGCTCCTCCCAGCCTTGCCAGATGCATCTCTTAGCAGGTATTCCTTCTGATTATAAGTGGGTAACTAACTGTAGGCCGAAGGAGCCCTGGTGGCACAGTGGTTAAGTGCTTGGCTGCTAACCAAGAGGACTCACCAGAGGCTCTACAGGAGAAAGATGCGGCAGTCTGCTTCCATAAAGATTTACAGCCCTGGAAACCCTATGGGGCAGTTCTAAGTTCTACTCTTCCTGTAGGGCCGCTGTGAGTTGGAATCAACACCAGGGGTTTGGTTTTTTCGTTTAGTGGAGGTAGACTCCATGAGTTCTGTAAGCCATTCTAGTGAACGACCGAACCCACCACGGGCAGAGAGAAAACGCCACGTGAGTGGCTGGTGTCGGAGATGGAGAAGTAGGAGAGCAGGGATATGAGCTGTCTTCACATGTTGGAAATTAGCCTCAGGCCGATTGTTGATGCGCTTGGAAAGTGCTTCAAGCCAGGATGCCGTAAGCACTATGAATGTTTGCTATCTCTAGTATCATTAACAAATACCTCCAGCCTCACGACCCCATCATCCCTCCTCATGAACTTGAACTCACCTGGGAACAAATGGGGGTTTAGGGGGAGATTAAGTATTTTGCCCAGGTTCTGCTAGCGAGTGAGTAGCAGGATTAGGTGTGCCTGATTCCAAAACTCACCATTTACCCCATGCTCAGGGCTTGCTCTATACATACAGAGATTGTCCTCAAGTCCTTATTCTGTAGACACAGTATATATAGATTGCCATATAATGTGTGTGTGTAACATATATAGATGGTCCTCAGTATATATTGAGGGCAATACCTGGCATGTGTTTCTTGTTTCCATTTAACTTTGGGGATCCACGATGTAGTTTGAGGAGTTGCTGTCTATTCGATAGGAGAGATTTTCATTAATGACAAATTTTTATCCAATCTTAATTTAAAAAAAAAGTCTTCAACCTCACAAGGATGAACACCAACAATATCAGCAATCTGGCTTGGTTTTAAGATCTCTTTCTTTTGCTCTTCACTTTGGTTTTCTTTAAAGGCAGGTTGAATAGGAATTCAGCATTCAGGATTACTGATGTGGTGATTTTTATTTCTTTTCTTAAGGATTGAGACTGTGGGGTGGAGGACTAATACAGGAAAGAAGCAAAGGACAAAGCCAGGTATTCAATGTCAAGTTTTATCATCGACATGCCTTGCTGTGGATGTGAATGTGACGTGAGCCGTGGTGTGAATGTTGGTATGAATGCAGCGTAAGCTGCGGCCCCCCTACTCTGCGCCGGAAGCTTCCAGAACTCTGCGCAGGGCTCCCAGTTAGCTTCATGGTGCCCTCACCTTGACTCCTCTGTTTTTCTTTCTGTTTTCAAGGATTTACTAAGCAGTGTTTCTTCTGTTGCTTGTCAAGTACAAGGAGGACCTGTATAGTTTTAAAGCCCTCTGTATAACCTGGTGTTTCCCCTGCCTTAGGCCAGTCGGATTAATTGGATCCCACTTCTGAGGTTCATTATGGTTATTAGAGGGGCCTCTGGTGTAGCTCAAGCTTTAAGGAGCAGAAGCTTCATGGCCTCCTTGAGGGCAGGGGCTGACCACCCATGGTGTGAGCTCCTGATCAGGACAACTGACCCCCCCAACACGTGTCACTTGCATTCCCTCTGGCACCACCCATGCAGGGTCACGGTGCCCCTGCTGATTCCCACTTAGGGAACAGGACATCATGTTAACCTTACATGTCAGAAGGCCCCTCAGGAGCCTTTTGAATATTTCCAAATGCTGCCTGGTGACGCAGGGACCCTTGAGTTCTGTTTCACTTTGTTTTTCTGTGCGCTGCAGCCCTCGTCAGCCATGTGTGGGCCAGGGTTAACGAGGGTGTGCGGGCAGAGACCCTTCTCCTGTGCCTTTGCTTCTCGCCCTCCCTGCTCCATCACTCACTCGCCAGGCAGCACAGGCAGAGGAAGAAAGCGTCGCTCCTTCTGAGGGGCGTCTCGGGCTGCTGATCGGGCGTGGAGGCCTTTTATGGTAGGGTGTTTGAGAAGAGAAGCCAGTGGAATGTCCGACCTCATGTCTGCTCATGGAGAGATTGTAGGCTTATGTCTTTACAGCGGCTTTGAAGGGTCTCATTACTGAAATGAGCGTGTCTTTATTGACTTCTGCAGGTTGAGGGATCCCCTGTGACGCCGGTCAGCTGGGTGGACGGCTCCGGGCGAGCTGCATTGGAAGGTCAGTGACCGTCCTCGCACCGCATGTGTGCCCTGGCGCGTGGGAGCCCTGTGTGTTATGTGTGTGTGAGTGAGTGTGTGTGTGTGTGTAAGTGGAACCTTTGCTGTGAAGTGGGGGCGGGGGGAGCTTGGCCTGACATGTGAGCTTTTACAGCATTTTAAGTTCTGTGCTTCATTCCTACCATTCTTTATTTTTTCTGAGGTGTGTTTTACAAACTTGAGGCATCCTTAAGTGCCCTTTTACCTGCTTGTAAAGTCCTTGGAGCACAGGGAGCAGAGTCCTGCTCACAATCCCATCCAGGGTACTTGATACATAAAAGGACTCAGATAGTTCTCGAATGAATGACTAGTCCCCACCCCCCACCCCCTTTTTTTTTTTTTAAATTTTTTGCCTAAAAAAAAGTTAAAATTTTAATAAGAGTTCAGAATTGCCTTTCCAGGGTGGCGCTCGCACCGCTAGCTGCCTGCCCCCGCAGTCCTCTAGTCGTCCTTCTCGTCCTCTTAGGGGTCTCTTTCCCCTCCCTCAGCCGGTTGTGTTGCCTAGACCCCACCCCAGCCTGTTTCCTCAGGAATCCGTCCATCGCCCCCTCTCTCACTGTCTTCCCCTCTCCCCTGCCCGGGGTGCCCGTCAGTAACACAATGTAAGAGTCTCCCCATCCCGTGGCGCATTCTAGCCACCTCCCTCTGGTCAGCCACCTCCCAGCCAGATCTCCTAAAGGCTGCTGGCATTCGCTGCCTGGAACGTTCTCCCACCCCGCATGCCACTCACTCGGCTGCGTCTGGCCTCGGCCTCCGTCCCTGAGCGCGGTGTTCATGAGGTTCCTGACCACCTTGCTGCCCAGTCCGGTTTGCGTTCTTTGGTTCTTACCCTCCTTGCCCTCAGGAGCATCCGAAACTTCTTGACACTCTCTGGTGCTGTCTTCAGCGGTGCGGTGTTCTCCGGGTCTGTGCCTTCCTCTCCCGAGCTTCCTTCTCAGCCCTCGTACCGGCCTGTCTCCCATCTTCGCAGGGTGCCCTTCTCAGGAGCCAGTCTGGGCTCCTCAGCCTCTGGCGAGACGTGGCGGCAGCATCTGTTGGTTTTGTCTCCAGCCCGGCCTCATCTGGGTGTGTCTTACTGCCCGTCAGCGTCTCTGCTTGAATACTGCAGCATATATCATCTGGATAAGTCACACCCAGCAAGGCTCTGCCATCATCTTCCCAGTAGAATAAGCCAGAAATCCACAGTCCACTGTCTCAGCCTCTTCGTTCCCCGGATCCAAGACATCACAGTCCTGTTGCTTTTGCTTTCTATCTCTCAGATCTGAATGCCCCCCTTCCCTGCTGCCACCCCGTCAGTACCATGCCACCTCTCTGTTTGAAACACCACAGTAGCTTCCCATTTGAAAAATAAGGAGACCTGGTGGTTTTTCCTGTAGATTTAGAAAGAAGACCTGATGAAGATGTTTACTCCTAGATGTTTGTGTATTTACTGAGATTCGTCCAGATCTTAACTCCACAAATTCTCAGTTCCTGGAATTTCCCAGACTGCTTGAGACAGTTGGATATAGGTGTTTCAGAGGGGCACCACCCAGGACGGCAGCCACTGGCCACATATGGCTGTTTAAATCCATTGAAAATTGAACAAAGCTTAAAATTCCGTTCCTCAGTCTCACTGGCCACATTTCAAGTGTTCAGTGGCCACATGTGGCCAGTGGCTACATCACACAGCAGATAGCTTTCCATTATCACAGAAAGTTCTGTCCAATGGTGCTGGGCCAGAGGATCTCAACTTTACTTGAATCAGAGTTGATTGAAAGAGCGAGAAGTGGTATAAAATCTGCTTTCCCTTATCTCTGCCATCTGAGGCATATTCTATTCTGATAGGTTCTCTGGGTTACTACAGAGAAACCTATAAGAGCCAGAACTCCGCGGGACTGCTTGTTTTTCCGGGTCTCACAAGTTTTCCACCTTTGACAGGGTGTGGTCTTAAAACCACTTTTCTTTTTCTTTTTTTTAGTTGTGCTTTAGATGAAGGTTTACAGAGCAAATTAGTTTCTCATTAAACAATTCATGCACATGTTGTGACATTGGTTGCCAACCCTGTGACATATCAACACTCTCCCCTTCTTGACCTTGGGTTCCCCATTTCCATTCATCCAGCTTTCCTGTCTCCTCCTGCCTTCGCGTGCTTGCCCGTCTTAAACGCTGTTCTCTCGCTCTCTATTAGTGGAAAGTATTTGAGGTTTCCTTCTCTGACAGGTTTCTGCCTTACACGGGTTCCAGCTTTCGCAGGTTTCACTGTCATAACCACTAACAGTCATAAATGGCCCATGTCCTTACTAAAGGGTGACACATTTGAAGCAATGGGGTTTTTACTGTAGAACATACACAAAATGAAAGCTTTCCTCGAGGGAGAAGAATTGCAAGCTTTCTTAGAAATTCTGATTGGAATTTCCTTTTTTGCTTTTAGATTCAAAAAACAGTGACGTCGATGCAACTTTCGACCAGGGAGACGAGGTTGCCATGGCCGTGACGGTAAGAACAGCCTTCTGTAGTGAGCGGACGGTCGGGGCGGGAGGTACCCGCGCGTCCTCGGCTCGGACCACGCCGCCCGGAGCAGCTTCCCCAGCGTTGCTCTGGGGTTCCTTTTCTGAGACTCTTTTTGCCCAGAGGTCCACCCACACTCCTGTGGGTGAGTTTCTTTTCCTTTTAGTGTCTGAATAGGGTGAAGGTTGTGCCTCCGGGGAAGGAAGGAACACGTTCTGAAGTATTATACAGGGAATGGCAGTGAAGGGGAAGTTGGTAGCCCCGACAGTAGAGAATTGAGGTGCTGGCCCTTCCCTAACAGTACGTGTTTGTGGGGCCCCCATCTGCCATCCCGAATCCCTGTCCCAACCCCACTCAGGGGCAGCGGGTGGAAGTGGAGACCCGATTTCTAGTGTGTGGAGGTGAGGGATAGGATGGGGGACCAGTCCATATCTTATTTTCTTAGAAGCATACTAGTCGGTGTGAGTATTACTAGTCGGTGCGAGTATTACTAGTTGCATCCTGAATTCACCTGAGAACGTTCAGATGGTTTTAGTGTCTTCCTGTTCTAGTAACGCTGCCATAAATTTTTTATCTTTTTACTTTCTTTTGGATTGTTAGCACTTGGTAAATTCCCTAAAGTCAGGTGGTTTTCAGAGGGGTTGGGCCACTTTGCACAGCTAACGGCAGTCGCTGAAAGAGTGACTTTAGGTAACTTGATTTAGACATTTGCATGCTAATGTGCTGTGTGAATTTGGTCCAGAATGCAAGAGCTCAGCCGGACTCAAAGGCTCGTAAGAATATTGACTTCTCTTTTTTGTTCAGCCTGCAGTGCTTCAGAGCCCTTTGGAAAATGAGTTACGAAGGAAATACTTGACCCAGGTGGACAAACTGCTGCAACATATAAGCTTTTCAGAGGTAATCTGCTTCCTCGTCCCTTTTTATGTGATGGAATCTTAGACTAGAGACGCATTAGGGTACAATGGGATCGTGTCTTTGTTTACTCTCTTTACAGATCCTGTAAAGAGCATTTTGAATAATTCTTTCAGAATTATTCTGGGGCACATTTTGTTCAGGGCTCATAGATTTTTGCGCTTCTTGAGTGAACACTCCAGGCCCACTGTTGTTACCGGCCATTGAGTCGGGCCCTGATCCATGGCGACCCCATCTGTTGTTACAGAGTAGAACTGCCCCGTAGGGTTTCCTAGGCTGTAATCAGGGATCAGATCACCAGGTCTTTCTCCCACGGAGCCGCTGGTGTGTTCAAACTGCTGACCTTTCAGTTAGCAGCTCCGTGTTTAACCGTTGTGCCACCAGGGCTCCTTTAGTGGCTGTACAGACGTGCCTTTTCCTTTCACCTAAAGTAGGAAATGATGTCTTCCTGGCTGCTGTGTCGGTCAGAGGGAGTCAGGAGCAGCTCTGTCATCTCCATGACGGCTTTGCTTTGCCCACCATCTCCTGGCCCTGTGGTGTTCTTGCTACCCAAGTAATGGTGGATGAGGAAAAAGAGCCAGACTTCCCGAAGGAGTCACTGACAGCGTCACAGTTGTGTCCAGATGTCATCCTGGAGGCCACGTAGTCAGTTCCCAGGTCTGACGAAGGCACCTCTTTTTCCCATCATTGTTTAAAGCCCAAACCAGCCACTGCCGTGGTAGTTCCACATCGTCAAAGCTGCCGTACTAAGAAGACAGTACATAGTTTGAAAAGAGAGCAACTCCTTCCGCCGTCCTTGGAGGAATGTCGTGTTGTGGGGGAAAACCCAGCTTGGCGTGCCCCCGAGTCTCAAAATCTAGTAACTGTTTTGTTATAACCAGTTTGCTTTGGTTTCAGCGTGCAGATAGCGGAGGCCTGGAGAACAGCCAGGTGACCCTGGTCCCTTTGTTGGCCGAGCCTGCCCATGGTGAGTGTGGCACAGACGCGCTGCGTGACCACATTGCAATTCTACGCAACTGTGCCAATAACGTGCTTTGTAGCCTTTTTGTTGGTTTGTTTATTCAAGTCAGGATCCGCCTAAGCATTGCCTGTTGCATTTGGTTGTCAGGTCACTTCAGTCTCCTTTATTCCAGAATGTTCCTCAGCCTTTTTGTTGTGATTGTTGTCCTCACGTCATGGACATTCTTGCATAGTCCAGGCCAGTTGTTCTGTAGAAAGCCCCTCAATTTGGACTTGCTGGGTTAGCTCCTTGTGGTTAGATTCATGTTGAACATTTTTTACAAACATCGTACATAGATGGTGGCATGTCCTTGGTAAGTTTCATCACTTAGTTAAGGTGGGTGCCAGATTTCGCCGCTGTGAAAGTGTCTTTTCCTCACAGTGCTCTGTGGGGGGACCATTTGAGATTGTGTGGAAGACTTTTCCCCAAAAAAAACCATTGCCCCATGGTTCTAGCGGTCAGTGAGCATTACTGCCTGAGGTGGTGGTTGCAAACCAGTCCTCTTCTGACTCTGCTTATATTGGTTGGCATCTTCTTTAAAGAATCGCTAAGAACTTGCGGACTTTTTTAAAAATCCAAGTGTTATAACCCACTGCCGTTATTCAGTTTGATACCCAGCGTGGACCCAAATGTACGCCGTGGGAGCCCCTTTCAAGCTGGCTCCTGTGCCATTGACAGGTCCCCACTGGTGTTTGAGACGGTTCCCCTCCTTCCCTGAGTCCATGGTTGCATCTCCCCTCTCCTGGTTGTCACCAGCATCAGTCACGGACTCTCGTTGGCTCAGTCGTAGCGTACAAAATGCTGTTGGAATCGCAGCACCTACCTGTACTCTGATCAGTACGACTGAGTAAGATTCATGGGTCCCAAGCTGCTCTTTTTATCCTTGGACCATATCCCATAAAGGATGTGCATTCAGAGTATTGTGTTCAAAGTTATTGCAATTCCTTTTTCCCTTTCTGTTGTTACCAATTTGTTATTCACTTAGGTTCCTTTGGTTCTGTTTGTATTCAACCTTAGGGTTTTCCCATCATTGTTGGTTTCATTTTTTTTTTTTTTAACGTATATACGACATCCAACATGGTGCAAAAGTCAAAGCTGTATAGAGGTGTAATCAGGAGTCTTATTCCCTTCCCTACCCACACCTACAGGTAAACAATGAAAAGGTACCCTTCTTCTAAACAATCCCATAAAGAGAGGAAGACTTCTTTGGGGAAGGTAGGGTGGAAAATAGACATTTAACTTTGATAGCTAAAAAGAGACCTCTGAGAAAAGGCTATTCCCAAGTACTTGTGGATTTGCTTTTTGGTTTTCGTATTGCTTTTAAAACCTATTATGGCCATTCTCCAATCTTAAGCTCCATGATCCATGCATCCAGATGGTGTTTGAATGGTAATACACCTCCACTTTGTGTTTTTATCTCCTAGGAGACTATGGTGATGTCTCTGCAAAGAACCTGGGTGGCCCTGTTAAGTCAGCATCACCTCTCAGAAAACGTGACCCCTCAGCCAACTTGGCACTGGTGCCCAGAAATGATGGTCTTGTGTCACAAGGGGCCAGTAGCCACAGCTTCTTAAGCAGCCAGTCCTTTGAGGCCGAGGATGTTTGCGACGTGACCATCAGTGACTTGTACGAGGGCATGCTGCACTCCATGAGCCGGCTGCTGAGCACAAAGCCATCCTGCATCATCTCCACCAAGACCTTCATTGTCCAAAACTGGAGCTGCAGGAGGAGGCCCAGATGGAAGAGCAGAATGAACAGAACGTACTGCAAAGGAGGCAGACACGTGCAGAGGGGCTCCAGGGAGCAACGCTTGCCCTGGTCCCAGCCTGAAAAAGAGGCAGGGGCACTGAGAGATCCCAAGAACTCACTAAAGGTTTCTTGCCGTAAGACAGGTTTTCAGTTGAAGAAAGTTCTTCTTGAGGTAAACAACCCCCAAGTCCATGAATTAGTTCCAAGCTGGAAGGAGCCTAAAGTGACTCCCCAAAAGCATTCTTTGTTGACATATTTGGACCCCAGTGCAGGGTATGATCTTGATCAGGAGAATAGATTTATGGCATTAAAATGGTTAATTTCTCCTGTAAAAATCATGTCCAAGTCCAGAACTCTCCAGGGCCTTGGGGGAAACCGTCACAGAGAGATTGAAGTCAAGTTTGACAAGCTGCATCAGGAATACTGTCCAAACCGTGTGAGCCAGCCTGGCCCCTCAGGCTCCTGGGCCGTGGATGTGTACAGAGGTGGCCCTGTAAGCCATGGATGTCTCCAGGGCTTGGAAACCCACTGGTCAAGTATACCTGTCCCACAAAGGCTACAGGAGGGTTTGGAAAAACCAGGGGAAAAATCTATCCAAGGGAGTGGATGCCTGCCAAAGCGTGATTCCTCTTCCTTGCTTCTTTCCAAGACTGGCCCAGCACAGAGCACAGGCCATGCTGAGCAAACATTGGACAGTCTTCTCCAAGAAAGCAGTCTTGGAATGTTTAGAAGGTCACTGCCATCCACAAAAGCCATTTCAAAGCCAAGCATACAATCTCTGAGCTGTGGAAGGAATCGTTATGATGACATTAAAGAAAGATTTGACAAGCTTCATCAAGAGTATTGCCAAAGATCGCCCCAGCGGATGAAGGAGACTTTCTGTACTGGACAGTCTCCAGACAGGGCCAGTGTGGAAGCTCAATATAAAAAAGACTTCCAAGGAAAAATGACTGCAGACTCTGCCTTCGAGAGTCCCCAGAAGTCATTGTCCTTACCCTCGTGGAGCATAAAAAGTCCATCGGGCTCAACTGCAATTGAGATTCATCCATCAACATGCATCGCTCATGCTCCCAGGAGAGACCAGCAGTCACCTGCAAAAAGACGCAGGTTATCAGACCCTCAGGTGTGTGGATGGTGGGCCGAGTCCTGGAACTCCACAGGTGTGGGCAGAGCCATCCCAAGACCAAGGGAAGAGACCCACCCTTTGCAGCTGGACTTGGAAGAGAAGGTGGGTTTCTGTTTATTGAACACAGGTGCTTTTTTTGAGTGACTGCTGTGTGAGCAAAAACTTTTAACCAGGGCTTCAAAACTGGTTCTTCCTGGTTTAGTCTTGTCCAAGGAAGTGGAACCAGAACAGACCTGAATTTTTTAAATTTGGGTGAACCAGAACGGGAAAAATTATGGGTCAAAGCCCTGCTAGAAACCTAATCTCCCTCTTAGAAAACCAGGGCAGCAAACGTGTTGCATAGCAACCAAATCTCTTGCCAGTCGGATTTTGAGCAGAGTCAGAAACAGCAGTGCCCCGCTCAAAGATGGCAGCCAACCACACTGCTTTGAATGTGTGCTGCTTTCCACAGTCCTGCCAATAATGCAAGCTCATGCATCAGGCTCCTGAAAGGGCTCACTGTGCCTCTTCTGAGTCTCCCATCCCAGGGCTTCGACCCATAATTTTTCACATTCCAGTTACTGTTCTAGATCACCCCAATTGTAAACATTTGGGTCTGTTCCAGTTTCGCTTCACGGGCCATGACTGAACTGGTTCAAACCAGTTCGAAGCTCTGCTTTTAACATTAGCAAACTTGGTGTCACTTATACATTTGCTGAATTTCAACAGGATTCTTATGTGTTAATTTCCTAAGTATTCTCCCAAACCAGCATTTATATTGATCCCGTTTTCATTGTAAGGTGCATTAAGGTAGAGCAGAAATGTTCTTAGAGGAAAAGTTTACACATTTCCATTGGAATGATGCATCTTTTTCACACTCCATCCATCTCTGTGAAACTTATTTCCAGCCTCTTCATCTTACTCTCAGAAAATAGCTATGGTAAGGCAAAACAGGTCTGAAAACAGTGGCTTTCAGTTTACTTATGGCTGCCCATACCTCTTTCACCTCAGGCCGCGCAGTCAGTGTCTGTTGCCCTTCGTTGCCCCTCGGGTGCTACAGTCAGTGTCCGTACCTCTGTCACCTCAGGCCCCGCGGTCAGTGTCCGTACCTCTGTCACCTCAGGCCCCGCGGTCAGTGTCTGTACCTCCGTCACTTAAGACCCTCCACCTCTTCCCTGTGCTTTGCTCACTGGTTTCTTCTCAGCTCTCAGACCCACGTGGCTCCCCTCTCTTGGAAAACATTTCATAAAACCTTAGAGTACTTTGGCTAGAAATGGGACTTGGTGCTATGAATGCCAAAATGACCACTCCTTCCAGAAAGTTCCGAGTGGTGGCCTTCATTGGCCCTGATCCACATCAGGCTCAAACAATGGTCTTGTCTCCATTTCCTCCTGCTCCTGTGTTAGCCTGCAATCCAGTTTGTGCTTTTCTGAAACCACGCCCTTAGACCCCCAGTGACCTCCTGGTGGATGACGCCCATAACCACATGTGAGCTTCTCTCACCATTATTCCAGTGGTTAAGCCCTCGGCCGCTAACTGGAAGGTGTGCAGTTTGAACCTATGAGCTGCTCCACGGGAGAAAGATGTGGCGGCCTGCTTCTGTAAAGATTCCAGCCTTGGAAACCCTATGGGGCAGTTCTCCTTGTCCTGTAGGGTCATTATGAGTCGGAATCGACTTGATGGACTACAACAACCCAGCCCCTGTGGCTTCTCCAGGCCACCCTGTCCGGGTCTGTCATTCAGATGACACCCTCCTTCGCTTTGCCTGGTCAGTTTTCACTGGTGTTTTCTTTGCAACTGTCCAACTATTTGCTTTTGTACCCCCAAACTTTCTCCCCCAGCTCTTCACAGCTCTTGTGCTTCAGCTGTCCCCTAATGCCAGGGACCCCTGTCCTCACCAGGAGCACACAATGCCACAGCTGAGCAAGACCCTACAGGCTGGGAGCAACCTATGGGATCCCTTCAACTCAGGCTCCCTGGCTCCGTTCTAGAAACTCCCCGGGTTTTTTGTTGTTGTTCAATTTATTTTTTTTAATTTATTTCCGTGTACAAAATCATTATATCAGCTAACCAGAAGCAGACGAAACAAACCCCTGTTGTGATTTGTCTTTCCAGTTGAGGATCAACGTAGGAATTCAAGTCATGGGATGGTTTACTAGCTAGGGCCTTCTAGTGTCAGGGAGCAGAGGTAGGCCCCAGTCAGTCCTGGACAGGGCGTGCCCCCCAGCCCAGGAGGACACTGCTGGATTTGATGGCTTGTCCTGACAGTACGCATCTAACAGCAAAGGTGCCCCCTTTGACCTAGGCCTCAAGCTGTTGCCCTTCTGCACCCACTTGGCTTTTTCTGACCAAACAGTCCACAGGGTAACTCTCGGCTACGGTCGGTTTAGTGAGTCTTGTGGGGCTGAGGCCTTTAAGACATCTCAGCCATATATGAATGGGCAGACAACTTCACGGAAGTTATTTTGTGAACGAATCTCGTCCGTTCCGTCTCTTCTAACAGAAGAGAACTCTCGGGATTGCCTCATTTCTCAGTTGAGAGGGAGGGAGTATTTACTGAAGACCACTCCTCAGCACCAAGAGCCTGCCTTGGGATTTCTCTGCCTCCTGACACAGCAGACACTTGACTGAACTGTCAACTGGCCCTGCTCATCTGAGCTAAAACGCCTTTTCCTCAAATAGTGCCCCTCTTGGCCTGTTCATGGAGTCTCTGTCCCATGTATTTGCTCACACCTCTGCAGCTTCTGTCGACCTCAGGCCCCTGGAACCGGCAGTTCCCTCCTCTGCCTGGGCTCTGCCACACCCCACCTTCTCAGCCTCGTGAAGCCCTACCTCTAGGAAGCCCCATGCAAAGCCTCCTTCCTCTTACTGTCTTATGTGCTCAGCCCGCAGGGGTTTCTTTCTCTCTTGGCCCAGCCACATAGAGGGAACCTCCGTTTTACAGAGACCGCTGCAGGGTCCAACTAGCTTACCTGCTTTGATCAGTGTTACAAACCCAGGACCGAGACGGGACTGAGACCCTGTACCACCCAGCAGGGCCGCCCAGCCCTCTGAGATTTCTTCACCTCATCCTAGCCACCACGGGCACCACCCAGATTTTGTCGCAAGCCATGATGTAAACATATGTAGCTTTTTTGGTATGTTTTTCTTCTTTTCCTACTTAAATTATAAATTTCTTAAGGAAAGGGGCCAAACCTTAGTGAGCTATGACTACATAGGGAATTTTAATGGCTGACATTGGAGTGGAGCCCTGGTGGCACAGTGGTTAAGAGATGAGCTGCTAACCAAAAGGTCAGCAGTTCAAATCCACCAGTTGCTCCTTGGAAACACTATGGGGCAGTTCTACTCTGTCCTATAGGGTCGCTATGAGTCAGAATCAACTGGACGGCAGTGGGTTTGGTTTTTTAACACTGGAGTGCTTCTTGTGCACTGGGCAACATGTTCAGCCTTTTTAATGCATCATCTAACTTGATCTACACCTGAACGTAGTTAGATACGTTGTCAAATAGGAAGGTTCTATTTCTCCTCTATAAATAAGGAAGTGCAGCTTAAAAGTCTTTTAGCTCTAAATTCACACAGCGAGGATGGGGCTGAGCCAGGGTTTGAAAATCCGTGGATGTGAGCACCAGACTGCGCTGGCTGCTTGCAGGTTCACTGTTACTATTGTTTCCCCATTCCTTAGGATATTTATTTAGCAAGGGGGATGGTTATAATGGGCACACAAATGTTGATGAGTAGGCACTGATATAAAACAGTGGCTGGCATTCTGAAGGAATTTTACTGAAATCATTTTCTTTGCCTTTTTTTTTTCCCTACAGGAAAGAAGAACCCAGGATGGAAAAGTGATTCTGTGTTAGAAAAATTTAGCGCTACAAATCTGTAAGCTGGCTGTTTGCGAGTGTCCTTTTCCCCCTTGCTCTCTTCCTTTTTTTTTTTTTTAATTCTTGAGACATTGTGAGAACTTGGTTGATTTTATCTGCCTTTCAAAGCAAATGTCAATGAAATGGGTTCTGTCAGAAATGATTCTGAGTTCTTTAGTAAATAAATAAAGTTGCTCATTTAAAATTTTAATGTTATCCTTTGTAGGCCACTTACTCATGTTTTCTTTTAAAAATTTGGCACGTCCAAAGAATTCTCCCTACCAGTTCCAATTTTGTTAGAAAATACTGTTTGCTTATGAAACCTAAGTTTAAGCCCCGGAAGGGATGATCCTTGGAGGAAAATACAGTCTTAGTCTTTTAAAGAAGGAGCCCTGGTGTTGCAGTGTTTGAGCACTTGGCTGCTAACTGAAAGGTCAGTGGTTCGAACCCACCAGCTGTTTTGTCCATAAAGATTACAGCCTTGGAAATCCTATGGGGCAGTTCTCCTCTGTCCTATAGGGTCGCTATGAGTCAGAATCAGTTCAACAACAATCGGTTGTTTGTTGGGTTAGCCTTTGAAAGGAGCCCTGGTGATACAGTGGTTAAATACTCAGCTGGCATCTGCTGGCGCTCTGTTCCCGTAAGGATCACAGCCGAGGAAACGCTATGCGGCAGCTCTATTCTGTCACTGCAGGTTTGCTATGAGTTGGGATCAATTCAACAGCAACAGATTTGGGTTTTTTAATTTATTTTCTTAGTCTTAAATTCAGCCCCCATGGGGACTTGATACCTTCTGTATTAGGAAATAGCAGCTTAAAACAATCTACCCATGGAAAATGCTTCCTACCATCTTCACATTTTCGGGTGAAAACGTGTCGTATTTGAACCGTCCCGTGATGGTCCCAAACCACTCTTGCAGCCACCTTGCCTTCGTGACATCTCTTGACTGTATTAGAGCTGTTTACAAATGAGAAACCACAGTGACTGTCTAATGACGTGTTTTAAATATGCAGGAAACAGTTACAAAACCCACGTACCAACCATCTATGGAGTTAACTTTTGCCGTATTTGTTATGTTTCTTTAACAGACGGTGTCTTAGTCATCTAGTGCTGCTATAACAGAAATGCCGTAAGTGGATGGCTTTAACTAACAAAAATTTATTTTCCCACAATCTAGTAGCCTAGAAGTCTGAATTCAGGTCACCAGCTCCAGGGGAAGGCTTTCTCTGTTGGCTCTGGAGGAAGGTCTTTGTCATCAATCTTCCCCTGGTCTAGGAGCTTCTCAGCACAGGGACCCTGGTTCAAAGGATGCAGTTTGCTCCTGGCACTACTTTCTTGGTGGTTTGAAGTCACCTTGTCTCTCTGCTTGCTTCTCTCTTTTATATCTCCAGAGAGATTGACTCAAGATACAACCTAATCTTGTAGATTGAGTCCTGCCTCATTAACACAACTGCCTCTAATCCTGCCTCATTAACATCATAGAGGTAGGATTTACAACACATAGGAAAATCACAGTAGATGACAAAATGGTGGACAGTCACACAATACTGGGAATCACGGCCTAGCCAAGTTGACACACATTTTGGGGGGACACAATTCAATCCGTAACATGAGGTTGGAGATCCGGTTAGATTGTACACATTCCCTCCCAGAGGCAATGGCTCTCCTGGTGAGCCTGTGTCCATCCTCCCAGGTCATCACACATGGGACTAGTGAGCCAGTGAGGAAGGTGCTTGCTGCATGTGACTGGAGAGCTGGCCCGAGCCTTCCACTTCGCAGATGCTTGTTCTTCCTCACAAGACAGTCTGGCAGTGGACTGCTGGTTCAGGCTCAGCCAGGCCTGTGGTGGTCCCTGCGATTCTTCTAGAACTTTCCCTCATGCTTGCAGCTTCATAGATGAGGACAACCCGACCTTTCCTTTCACTGGAGAACTACCATCCTTGCCCCAAACTGCTTGTGCCTTGCCCCTTCCCATACACAGCAGACCTGCACTGAGGTTCTTTGGCCCGGCCAGTCCCAGCTGCCAGAGAGGCTGGAAAATAAAATCTGATTTTCTGTCCTCAAGTGGAGTAACGGAGTCCCTGGGTGGTACAAACGGTTAACACACTTGGCTGCTAACCGAAAGGTTAGAGGTTCCAGTCTACCCAAAGGTACCTTGGAAGAAAAGCCTGGCCATCTACTTCCAGAAAATCAGACTGAAAACCCTATTGAGCAGTTGGATGTTGACACATGGTGCCGCCATGAATCAGGATGGACTCAATAGCAGCTGGTTTGGTTTTATTCTTTAGTAGAGGAAGATGAGGTAGACGGGGACTTGGAATGGAGATTAGCCAGTTTACAATGTTGTGTGTTGTCGAGTTGATTCCGCCTTATAGTGACCCTACAGGACAGAGTAGAACTGCCCCCAGAGGGTTTCCAAGACTGTTGTATTTATGGGAACAGGCTGCCACATCTGCTGGGCTTGAACCACTGACCTTTCGGTCAGCAGCTGGGTGGTTAGCCACTGCGCCACCAGGGCTCCCTATATAGTTTATGAGGTTCTTTATTGTCAGATCCTATACGCTGGCAAGAAACCAGTGTTATGCTCGAGCCTATTGTTGCAGCCACTGTCAATCCATCTCATTGAGGGTCTTCTTTTTTGCTGACCCTCTACTTTACCGAGCATGATGTCCTTCTCCAGGGATCGGAGAATACCAGAAAGATGTTTACCTGTGTTTCATTGACTATTCAAAGGCGTTTGACTTGTGTGGATCATAACAAATTCTGGATAACATTGGGAAGAATGGGAATTTCCAGAACACTTAATTGTGCTCATGTGGAACCTGTACAAAGACCAAGGAGAGGCAAATCGAAGAGGTGAATTATTGGGGCAGGCGTGTCCTCAACTTCCCTAACTACTGTCAAATTGCTTTCCCAAGTGCTTATTCCCCGTTGCGCTCCCCCTAGCAGTGTGAGCGTTACCATTTCCCCATCTTACTGCCCCCAAGTCACTGCTGCCAGCCTCTGAAGCGGGTGCCAGTGTGGTGGGTGTGAGACGTGTGATGGGGCCGTTTGTTTCTCCTGGTGTAACCCTACCCTACGAATGCCAGTAAATTTCCATTAGTCCTTAAACTAGCCCAAGCCAGATTTGGCCCACTCTGCTTGTGCAGAAGAGGCAGCTCTGACCGATAATTGACCTCAACAGAGGATGCAGCAACAAACAGGTGGAACAAATCAGAAGGAAAATCACCCGGGCCCTATTCCAAAGCAAGAGGTCCGACAAGAACCACGTCACCTCCTGTTTCCTGGCCACCATAATTCCTGGAACATCTTACGCCTGTGCGGCCGCCATCTTGCTGCCCAAATCACACAGAAGCCCTCCTTCCCCATAGCTTGGGGGAGTGGGATCTGAGGAACTTCCTCGGGGCTCCTTGCTCTGTGCATTGCAATAAAGTTGCTTTCTCTTTCTGAAAGGCCGGTGTCCAGATTAGAGGCAGGTCTGAGCGCGCTGGACAAGGACCCACCTTCCTGGATTCGGCAACACTGGTGACTCAAGATTGAGCTTGTCCTGGGTTTACCAGCCTTTCTTTCCACTGTCCACTCCTGGATTACCACGTGTGATCCTGTGTCTGTTTTTCTATTTACTTCTTACTGATGGGGATGTATTTTGGGTACCAATTCAATTATGTGAATTAATCCAGTCTTAAATGAATTGCAAATAACTTCTCCCATCTATGGTTTATCATTTAACTATAGTATTTTATTGTGAAGAAATTACATTTCAGATATTTTAATCCCCCCCCCACCCCCGGCTTCTGCTGTCTAAAGAAAACCTCCCCTACCTTCAGGATCAAAACTGCGCTTTACTTTCTTAAAATCTTGCGGTTCAAGTTTAGGTGTCTGAACACCCGGAAGTGTTTTGCGTGGGCCTCACGGGAGGTCTAGGCCTAAGTACAAATGTGCAGCTATTCTTCCAGGACATTTACTGAAGGCCACATCTGCTCCTGGCCCCAGCAGTGGTATTCAGCACTTGGCAGAAAAGAACTCCATTGTTTGCTCCGTAGGATCCAAAAAAACAATTCGAAAACCACCACTGGGGCAGATTGGTTGTCCTATTGGGCTGCTCGAAAGCTCACGCCCGTTGATAGAGCCCATCGGTCATTGCTCAGCAGCTGTATCGGGAACAATCCAAAAGTCTCATTTTACCTGCTTAAGGGACGACCAGTGACTGTTCTGTTGACGACTGAATATAGCAAAAGTCTCTCCCATCCTCTCCCCGCCCCCTCAGGTTTCTTGGATATGGACAAATTTCTTATTTTTGACCCTAAGCCAGATCCTGTACCAGGCCTCACTGGGTTCCATTCCAGCCATCCAAACACGGTTTAAGAACTTTGAGCCTTCATGGGCAGGGAGTGCGAGGCCTGGCATCAATGTCACGCCCTCAGTGAGACCCTCGCCCTTCTATGATGTGTGTCCTGGCTGGGAGCTAGAAGTCTACCTTTCTGGGGCAAACCCTAGAGGTGAATTATTCAGCGCGGGGCCCGGGGAAGAGCAGGTGAGAATAGCCTCCCCTCTTGCTCGCCAGGGCCTGGCCGTGGATACACCCTCCGCGTGTGCGGGAGAGGAGACGTGGTATTTCTCGGGTCTATAGAGGGGCTACCTGATATATGTACACCTGGGGAAAGCGGAACGGAATCCCCTCGCCCTGCCCCACCAGACTGGAAGCGCTCCCTCTGCCCCACCGTCTTGGGTCTGTGGTGTCTGAGCTCCAGAGGGCAGCAGAGACCCACCCCAGAGGAAGGAGAGAAGAGTATGCTGGTAATTTTACAACAAGAACAATGTTTTCCTTATCAACTAATTGGCAACAGTTGGCATGGCCGTGGTAGGACGCAGTCCTCCGGGCAATGACAGGCACATGTGGACCCTAGGAAACACCTTCAGGGGAAGCCAGAAGCCCATGCTGACTGCAGTTGTCCAGAATCTTGAGGGTCTCCAGGGCTGCTCTCCGAACCCCGGGGTCCGCATCCAGCTGGAGCTCCTGGAGAGCTGAGAGCGAGCACAAGAGGGGGAATCAGGGCCTCCAATCATTGGGGCCACAGCCCTGCCCTGTGTGTGACCGTGGGGACCACAGCCCTGCCCTGGTCAGCCTGTGAGCGTGGGGACCACAGCCCTGCCCTGGTCAGCCTGTGAGCGTCGGGACCGCAGCCCTGCCCTGGTCAGCCTGTGAGCGTCGGGACCGCAGCCCTGCCCTGGTCAGCCTGTGAGCGTCGGGACCGCAGCCCTGCCCTGGTCAGCCTGTGAGCGTCGGGACCGCAGCCCTGCCCTGGTCAGCCTGTGAGCGTCGGGACCGCAGCCCTGCCCTGGTCAGCCTGTGACCGTCGGGACCGCAGCCCTGCCCTGGTCAGCCTGTGACCGTCGGGACCGCAGCCCTGCCCTGGTCAGCCTGTGACCGTCGGGACCGCAGCCCTACCCTGGTCAGCCTGTGAGCGTCGGGACCACAGCCCTGCCTTGTGCAGCAAGTACCGACCAGAGGCTGAGATGGCCTGGTGGCCGGGCTTGTGTGGGCTGCAAACTGAAACTCTCTTGTATTTGAGGTCAGAGGCCCAGGGAGGAGCTGGGAGGCCTCAGGCCCATCACATATCTTGGAGCTTTGGTCCCTACCCTACCAGGGACAGGAGGACTGCCGGAGGCCTCAGTGCTGAGGGGAGATGCAGAGAGCAGGGAACTCAATGTACTCCATGCCGCCAATAGGGCTCGTCCACTTCCCTGGGCCTGGCTGCCTCTCCTCCCCAACACAACAGAGGGTCGGCTGGCACTTCCCAAGCGGTTTCACTAGGCTTATACCCACCAGAGAGGGCTTCCCCAAACAAGTCTTTGTGGGTCGTGGGACTCAGAGAACCTAAGAGTCTGCACTACTTACAATTCCGTAACGCCGGGAAGTCCAGCTTTCTCAGGTAGCTTGCAGACATCTGCTTCATCATAATCCCTGAAATGACAGCCAAAGAGAGGCTCAGCACACGAATCTCAGGGCGGCAGGCAAATCCTGCCCTCTCTGTGAGAGGCCTGGTTCACCTTATGAGGACATCTATCTGCTCAGGATTTTGTTAGCAAGGAGGAAGCTGAATTGGCAATCCGGTAGATGTGAGGCACGGGCGACTAGTGGGTACAGAGGTGGGAGCTAGACCTGGGCATGGTCCCCGCGCCACCACCCAGTCCCCTTCCCCACTGACCCGGAGTTCTGGCTGCACTCGGTGACGGGTTTGAGCAGATGGCTTTCAGGATCCACCCTGAGCTGGGGAAGGCTGTCCGCTCACCTGCCAAGTTGCATGCGGCAACTCTGATCCTCGACAAATTACTTTTCAGGTAGGAGATAGTTTCTAGCAGGAAGCCGTAGAGAACGGCAGGCTTCTTCTGAGTCTGCAAACAACAAGCAGCTCACAGCTGTGGAGCAGGGGCTCCAGGGCCAGCTGCCCACAGAGTGCTTCCCCACCTGCCTGAGGCATCAAGTCCCACGCACCTGAGGAGGTTTGCCGATTAGGAGCTGGGCAACCTAAGGACCCATCAGCCCCTGCTCCAACCGTTTGACCCCAAAGAGGATACTACATGTGTCCAGATCTGCACCGTCCAACATGGCAGCCACTGGCCACACGTGACTCTTGGGCACTTGAAATGTTGTTGCTGGGTGCCCTCGAGTCGGTTCCGACTCACAGCCACCCTATGTACCACACAACCGAACGCTGCCTGGTCCCGCACAATCCTCACAGTCGTTACTATGCGTGAGCCTACTGTTGCAGCCCCTGAAATGTGGCCAGTCTGAATCAAGTATAAAGTACCTTCTGGATTTTGAAGATAGTACAAAAATAAATCAAGCATCACATCAATAATTCTGCACTGACTGCGTGTTGACATGATGTTTGCGGCACGCCAGGTTGTTGCTGTTCTCAGTTACCATCGAGTCGATCCCAATCCATGTCAGCCCCACGCGTGCGGAGAAGAACTGTGCTCCACAGGGTTTGCAAGGCTGTGAGCTTCAGAAGCAGGTCGCCAGGCCTGTCGCCCGAGGCGCCGCTGGGTGGGTTCGAACTGCCAACCTTTCGGCTAGTAGTTGAGCTTAACCTTTTGCGTCACCCAGGAACCTTATTTTGGGTTACATAAAATGTTAATTTGACCTCTTTTCACTTAATGTGCCTGCTAGAAAACTTAAAATAGGTATGTTCTTCCACTGCAATGCCATCGGAGGGTGCCGGTCTCAACATCTCACATTTAGAAGGCGAACACAGGGGCCACAAGATAGAAATCTGGGGCAGTGTCCACCCTGAGCTCAGCCCCGTGTGGCTTTCTCACCAGGACGGAGCACATGGTGGTCTGGAACACGGTCATCTCATCCGCGCTGGCGGCTGTCTGCCCAGGGGGGCTCTCCAGGCCCTTGCAGCCCCAAAAGTGCAGGCACTGCAACATGGTCTCCATGCAGGCCTGGGAGGGGCGGGATGGGAGGACAGGCGTCAGGCGGGTCCAGGGTGATTCATGGAGAGGTGGGGGTGGCAGGGCTGACGTTCCATCAACAAGCAGCCCCAGAGAGGCTGGAGATGGCAGGGCTGGCAGGCGCCCGGGGGGCCACCTAGACTGGGGCCTCTGCTGGCCTATGGAGCACCTGTATGTGGATCTATAAAAGGCCCTTTCCCAGGTGGTACAATTGGTTACGCACTCAGCTATTAACCAAAAGCCTGGAACTCCAGTCCACCGAGGGGTACTTGGGAAGAAAGGCCTGCAAACTACTTCCAAAACCTCAGCCACTGAAAACCCTACGGAGCACAGTTCTACTCTGACACACGTGGGGTCGCCACGAGTCAGGGTGGACTCCACGGCAAACGGTTTTAGGGGGCAGATTCAGCCCTATACCAAGCTCCACTTGCCCCCTTAGCCAGAGCCTGTGGCCTTCAGCAGCCCTGTTGGGACCGACCCCTCAAGGAGCTGGAGCCAGAGCCTGGGCTGGGGTCTGGGCTGGAGTCTGGGCTGGAGCCTGGACTGGAACATGGGCTGGAGTCTGGCAGGGCCTGGGCTGGAGCCTGGGCTGCAGGCTGGGCTGGAGCCTGGCAGGGCCTGGGGAATTTTCCATCCCTTCCAGGTCCACCCAACTTTCCCGCCCGCCCAGGGCTCTGGCTTCTGGGTGGGCTGGGCCAAGAGGGTACTGGCGGGAGCTTGGAGGTAGGGAGAGGGCGCTGGGGCATGTGTACCCTGGGCTGGGAGTGTCTGCTGTGCCTCCTTGGTTTCCCTTAACCCAACTGTCCCCTTGAGTTCCTTCCTCAGACTCCCCATGGCTGTGTGTCCCCTCACAGCATCACTGTTGATAAAGCGTGAGCAGACAGGGGGCTGCTGGCCAGGGGATGAGGGTGGGACTGATGCGGAAGAAGGGCCTGCAGGTGGTGATGCTTCCTGCCCGGGTCACAGCAACCCAGCTAAGCCTGGACCCCGCCGCAGTGTCCCTTCCTGGAGGTGCCTCTGGAGCACCTGGGCGGGGGGTGTGATGGGCACAAAGGAGCCAGGGTAGGGGGCACGACAAGAGGCACCCACACCTCCCTGAGCGCCACATAGATGCCCCTGAAAACCTTCAGCCCTCAGCGCCACGCTGGGTGCCTTGTCTCTGAGGGCTCACACAGCTCTCCAGGGACCTGGTGTTCCTCTGGGGTTGATAACAGTCTCTTCTCTAGGGGGCTTCTGCTGAATCGGCCCCAGGCCAAGCTGTCCATAGGGGGAGGTTGAAGGGGGAGGGTTTAAAGAGAGTCAATGATGGGCAGACGGTGACGGAGAGAAAGCAAACCACACTGTGGTTCCACCCACACAGCTAGAAAATAGAACAGATAGTTGCTGTCGAGTCAAGTCCATCTCACAGCGTGTCAGAGTAGAACTGCGCTCCATGAGGTTTTCAGAGGCTGATCTTTCAGAACTACAGGCAGTCCTCGGATTATGATCGAGTTCCTGTTGCTAAGTCTGTCTTTAAGTCAAACTTGTACGTACATCGGAACAGTTAGGTATGGTTCATATCTAACATCAGGTAGTCAGATGTTTGTCTTAGTGTCTAGTATATAGTGGACCGTTCTATGAATAAAAAACATTAAAGGAACACGTTCAGATTCACTAAAACACCTTTAACATAATAATACAGTAATAATAATAATGTCTGGATGCATGTAGCAAAGTAGCACTTGTCACTATGAACCGTTGTATGTACCTCGAAATTCTAATATAATAGGCTTTACAGGGTCGGTTCGTAACTATGGGTTGTACATAAGTCAGACATTCATAACCCGGAGACTACCTGTAGATCACCAGGCCTTTCTTCTAAGGCACCTCTGGGTAGACTCAAACCTCTAACCTTGCATTTAGCAGCCAAGCGTATTAACTGCACCACCCCTGGACTCCCACGCAGCTAGACTCTAATCAACTGGTCTGTGGGTCATCTGGAGGTAAGGGGCTGGTGGACGGTGACACCTGGGCTCTCAGGGAAGCCGGCAGCCAATCGAGCCAGCAGGGGCCCCTGACTTTGGGCCACGGGGACTGCGTGTCTTACTCTGGCTGTGTAAGAGCAGGGGTCCTGGCAGTGCAGCATGAGGGAGACCCAGGCTTTCTTCACCTCCACCTTGAAGAGATGCTTCTTGGATACCCTGACCACCTTGGCCAGCGTCCCGAAGAGCACGAAAGCTTTGAACCGCAGCAGTTCGCTCTCCTGTGGCCAAGTGCACAAGCAAGGTCTGAGATTCCAGAAGCAAGAAGTCCAACAAAACCCTGCCATTCCTCATAGACCCTGCCACTCCTAGTGGATGCCCTGTGAGGCCTTTCTGGATCATTCCATTGGAATCAAGTAGCTCTCGAGGGACCAGGCATTCCTCTGGGGTTAATGACTGTCTCTTCCCAATAGGAGGCCTCGTGCTGAATCTGAGCCCACACCATGGCCTGGCAGAGGGCCCTGCACATCATAGACGGTCAAAAAAGTACCTGTGGACTCAAGACATTTAAGGGGAGAAGCTCATTCCCTAACAGGAAGGAAGGAGAGCCCATGAGTCCTCACATCCTCAGCTATTGATTCTTTAGAGTTTAGAACAATTTTTTTCCCCAAGATCCCATTATCAGCCAATCATTACATCAGCACCAAGTAGGACCTGGAGTCCCCAGGCGATGCTAAAGGTTAATGTGCTGAGCTGCTAACCAAAAGGTTGGAGGTTTGAGTCCGCCCAGGGGTGCCTCAGAAGAAAGGCCTAGTGATCTATTTCCAAAAAATCAGCTATTGAAAACCCTATGGAGCACAGTTCTACTCTGACACAAGTGGGGTCACCATGAGTCGGAGTTGACTCAATGGCAAGTGATCTTTTAAGTGGGACGGGGGGCTTTTTCTGCCCCAGGGAACATCTTTTTTTAGGGGTCAAGTGCTTATCTGCTCATGAGCAGGCATTCACAGGGCCTGCGGGAGGTCCTCATCTTGACTCACATTGTCGAAGAAGGCCCTGCACTGCTCGGAGATGGCGTTGAAAAATGACCCCACGTGCCCTTCCCGGAGCTCCGCCAGGATCTTGGTCAGGGCAGCCATGCCCTCGGAGACCACACTGGTGCTGCCCGGCTCCCGCAGGGCACACAGGCACTTCTCCAGCAGGAGCTTCCGGTACTGCTTCACCTGGACAGGGCAGGGACCATCAGCCTCCACTCACTCCAGGGGCTGCACCATGGGGCCTGGCTCAGCAGGCACCATCTCCCACCATCCAGCTCCAGGGGGCTGCACCCCAGGGCCTGGCTCAGCAGGTGTGGTCCCTACCACCCAGCTCCAGAGGGCTGCACCCCAGGGCCTGGCTCAGCAGGTGTGGTCCCCACCGCCCAGCTCCAGAAGGCTGCACCCCAGGGCCTGGCTCAGCAGGTGTGGTCCCCACCGCCCAGCTCCAGAAGGCTGCACCCCAGGGCCTGGCTCAGTAGGTGTGGTCCCCACCGCCCAGCTCCAGAAGGCTGCACCCCAGGGTCTGGCTCAGAAGGTGTGGT